TTCAAACTTAAACGGTGCGCTCCCAGCGCACGTACCGGCAGTGATCTACAGCAGTGGTTTTCAACCAGTGGTACGGGGACAAACTGTCTCGCTCTCGTAATGTCTGTCTGTCTTGCTCTCGTTCTGTCTCTCGTACCACTCTCGGTTCCACTTTTACTTTTGCGCGCTACCTGTCTCACTCTTTTCCGGCCTCCAGCTTTTCCTGCTGGAGCGCGCCGCTTAAAGGTGGGGGGCGCGGACCGGCCATGGAGCCCATAGAGTTAAAGGTGGTGGACTGTAACCTGTAAAATCCATAGATTTAGGAGGTCCCCTAGTGGCCGTTAGCTGTACAAATCCATAGATTAGCCGCACCGTTATATAAACCGCAGGGTCGAAAAATGGGAAAAAAGGCGCGGCTTATAGTCCGAAAATTACGGTATTTATCAACTATCCAGAGCATAAAATAAAATCGAATTACCCTTGTATTAATGAGGAGAAGAAGGTGGTGAGGAAGTCCAAGGTTGGATCTGTGACCTGTTGGGGCAGTTTGCTGAGGAGTGGCATTAGATTAGGGTGGAGGGATTTAGCCATTCCCTTGCCCCCCTCTTTTAATAGTGCCCAAAGTTTAGGTAAGAAGCCCTTCTTAGCGTTCACGTGTGTCCAGCAATCCTGAAACGGGAGCAGGAAAATTGACAATGTGATAAATTGGCACCACAACAAAATAAAACATCTCCACATTGGTATTAATGTAATAATGGAGGATAGAAAACCCTATAGAACACCTAACAATATAACAGCAGTAGCAAAAGCTTACAGGGATGGTAGACACCACATGAAGAACAGCCTCCCACACAGGGGGCAGCACTATGGGGTCCGTGTCGTCGATGCTGAGGAGAACAGCGGGGCAGAGTCGAGCGGCTTCAGCCTGCACCAGATCTGGAGTGTACTCACACAGAGCACACACCATCTCAAAAAAGGCCCCTCGCACCTGCGGAGCAACACATAGGAGTTAGGGCTGCATGATATATTGTGTCGATAATCGCGACATTCACATCGCGGGACGTGCGATTTAAAAAGTGTTTTTGCACTGGGATGTAGCATATTATCCTGTACACATCTTCACAAGTTCACTCAGTCTTATGATGAATATATCACATTCAAGTGAAACATTCCTTATAGTAGTTATGTGAAAGGACATTATGCATACTAGGTCAACAAATGCATCAGTCTTACTCAATGCCAGTACCTGAGGTGTCTTGTGTTTGCCGTACTTCCAGAACTTCCCCGAGTTGAGAAGATGTGTTAGTCTCTCCTCCAGGGCCGTCCTGTCGCTCGGCAGCAGCAGCGAGAGCAATCTCTTCACCCCCAACAGAGAGCTGGTCAGCATGCGCACATATTTGCCTTCCCTCTCCTCCTCTGTCACACTTCTGGAGAACAAAAGGAACCAGTGCCTCAGTAAATAATAATAATTTGTCCATTTATTATCATTGTGCCAACATAATTGAGACAAATGCAGAACATAACACAAAGAAAATAATGAGCTAAACTTACTGTGGATCGCTCAGCGTGTCGGCCGTTTCCTTTAACAAAACATCTTGAAGTACCTGTAATACAAGAATAACCTTTTTACGTTAATTTCAGTTCATTAGATTACAAATACCCTCGTTCCCCCTACAACCACTACTCACGTTTAGCATCTCATCCTTGCAGAAGCTGAGAGCCTCGGGCTGTTTGCTGGGGGAGAACGCAGCCTGGAAGGCCTGGCACGCCGCAGAGGCTGCAGGTGTGTAAGTGTCACACTGGGACAGGATCCAGTGGCCCATCAAGCTCTTCAGAAAGGGGGCCAAGCTGCGGCGCACTTTCAGCACCAGCTGCTCAAAGGCCTGCTGGGTGGCCTCCCTGATCCGCCGATCATGGTCCTGATAGACATGACGATCAAGACCAAATTATCCTAATGTACACACCCCGAACACTTGCACAAATTAAAGTCTCATTAAAATGAAATATGTAGTTTGAGTGTGCTTCCATCCAGCCTGAGTTATTCCCAATCATTTGAAATGGGATGCCTTCAATGGCAGGACGGATTTGATTTATCAAAATGTATATTAGTAGCTTGAGTGCTTAGTTTTATAAAAGGGATATTTTATGAATGTGTGTTGAAGGACCATCTCACCACTGATATCTTGCAGTAAATCCTCGGCCAGTACGGTAGGACGCCTTTCACCTCTTCAGCATCCCGTTCCTGGCACATGGATCCAAAGTCCTGCACAGCCTGAGGTAAGCATAAAGCACTAAAGGTCACCTATTATGCAAAATCCACTTTTTCATGTATTTTATACATACACATGTGTCCCCTCTGTGTAAAGAGATTCTCAAAGTTTCAGGAAAAAAGATTCTCTCACTTTTTGTCCTGATCCATTTATATAAAATCCTGTCTGAAAATGTCATAACGGTTTTTCGGCTTGTGTAACCATTAGCCAATCGCCAACCAAGGTGACACCCGCCCACCTTATCATCTGAATGTCCTCCTAGAGCACCATTGTGTTCTTTTTAACCAAATATCTCTCAGAAGGGCGTGGGGAGGGGCTCCTTATTTTCATCTAAAGCTACAGACACAGAATCAACACTTTAGAAACAGGGCTAAAACAGAGGGGTTTATGGGATGCTACAATGATCTGTTTGGTGTTTAGAGCCGAACACTTCAGATACATGTTTTGTATATAACTGAGAGAACTATACTATAATATTGATGAAAAACAGTATATTAAGGGACCTTTAAGACACACACCTGGACCAACAAGCCCCTGAAGTGATATCCCAAGGAGTGTTTTCAACGTGCGTGTACTGTATGTACCCTGTGTTTTAAGTTACATAAAGTGGTATGTTGTAGAATTCTATAAACTGACATGGATGTTATATGAGACCAGAAAGTTAGTAACAGTTTAAACTCACTTTCAGTCTGGTAACAACATCCCTCTTTGACAGTTTCCTGAGCACCAGGCGGAAATCTGCATCCACCAGGTTGTCTATCTCCTCCGCCCCGTGGACAGCGGGGACATAACTCAGCTCCGAGTTGACCGTCGTGTCGAAGCCCACAAAGCCCGGGATGACGCCTCCCTCCCGGGTAAGTGCCTCCGCAGCTCGGCCGCTACTGGACGGCTAGTAAAGGCAGGGGAAATGGGGGTATAGAACATTAATCATCTAATTAAACATTAACTAGAAGAAAACGTGGTGGCCGTAAAACAGCTGGGACACACGTAGCCTAAACTAGCTGTAAACGTGAAGTTTACATTAGCTTGTATTCGTGTTGGCTGCTAGCAATCTCACTTTAACACTGTAACGTTAGCTAAGGGCAGACAATACAGTACTATGCAGACATTGGTACTTACCCGGACATTTCCTTTAGTTCGTTGTTTATTCTTACCCCCCATTGATACGCATTAATGTTAAAAGTATCCAATGGTACAGAGCGGAAAGACACTGGTGGTGTTCATGTGACGGAACTGACGACTTTCCGTCCTGATCTTTCAAAATAAAGTGGCATCTACAGACTTTAGGACTGTACTGATAAAACGCAGCTTTCCCCTATGCATTTCCCAGTCATACAGCTATAAGTATACACCATAATTATCCATATCATGTGATCCAAAAATATGACAAAACTAACAAGGATTAAAAATAAATAAATAAAAGAATATTTAAATGTATACAATATAATTCATAAAAATGTGTTATGAGTTTAATTATTAGTCCTAAATATCATTAATCATGCATTTTTCACTGTACTTTGTAAATCATGGCTTGTGTTATTGCAGTGTCATTTGGGATGAGCATAGATAACATGAACTCCAAAAATGTCCACTGTCTCTATCATGGCATTGATTGCAGAACAACTAAAAATGTTAATGCATACTTTCCAGATAACATGAAATGTTTAAAACTCAACACTTGTTTTTTTCAAATATCCTCATCTTTCAGCAACAAAAATCAGAACCAAAGCAGATTTGAGCTCTGTGCTTTTTATTCACAGAAACAGATTCCTTACTGTACCTTCATACAAACACTTCAATGTGGCTCCAAATTCCCAAGTTAACCATTTTTTAATCAAAGTGGATGTTAAGCTATTGGGTTCACCTTGAAGCTGACAGTGAGTATTAATTTAAATGAAAACAGCCAACTGCATTTTTAATAGATATTTTTATAAGCTCATATGAAACAACTAAATAATTCATTTGAACCAGTTTGATTCTGTGTTTGGTCTGTATTAGTGAATATTAAATATTCAGTCATATAGATCAGACTATTCTTACCCAAACACCGGCAGAAAATGAAATAAAAAAGGATCAGGTTGACTTTGGTGATGATTTTTTTAATAATAAGTTGCTAATGTTATTACATGAGGCTTGAGGAATTATATGGATCTATAAAATGAGTCTCCCCTGCAATGCAATTTATCACATTACAAAGTATTGGCCTATTTAAGATTTGTTTTAATTAAAGCAAATATAGAAGTGTATTGCCATTCACTTCCAATGTATATGCCTTTAAGATGAAATTAATGGTTATTTCTTAATTTGTTTATTTTAATTTGTATACAACATAATCACAGGTTTCAAAATATTCTCCATAAATGTAATATCCAACTTTTCCAAGGTCCTTGCTGCTTCATTTAAGTCATTTAAGCTAACTTTAAAAAAACACTCAAGAATGAGATTTTTAAAAAAAACTAAATTGCAATTTAAAAAAAAAAAATCACCAAAAACAAGATCAATTTAAGTAACTGGTTAAAAATTGTGATTTTCCACCTCTTTCTTTCAAATCATAGAACACAATCTAAATACATCTCTCTTTGTATACTATAGAATATAATATTTGATAAGGCTACACAACAATACATAATCAATTGCACCCATTAAAAGGTGCACATTTAGAAATGATCAGAGAGTTATGATTACAAATTCTTTCACCTCTTAAATCAGGTATCACGGTGCCTATTTCAAAAAGATTAGTTGGTGATTTTCGCCCTGCCCTGAAAGCAATCAGACAGGTAACCAGAATTCAGTCAGTACAAACTTAAAAGGCAACTTGCAAAATTAAGAAACATTTGAACCAAAGGAACGCTGTTGAAGCCAAATTGAATTCATCTTTTACAATAAACCATGTTTTTGGTTATCTGTGGTTTTGGTAAACACAGCATATAAGGTTGATACCTTACTATTACCATCCATAACCTGCAGAACAGTTTAGAATTACAATTAAATGTAAAATGTTTCAATTGCTTTATTATTATTAAAGGTCACCTGTTATGCAAAATCCACTTGTTGATGTATTTTCTACATCAACATGTGTCCCCTCTGTGGAAAGAGACTCTGAAAGTTTCAGGAACAAAGATTCTCTCTCTTCTTGTCCTGATCCATTTCTATAAAAACCTGTCTGAAAATGAGCTGATCCGATTTTGGCCACTTTATGATGTCATAACGATTTTTTTGGCTTGTGTAACCATTAGCCAATCACCAACCTAGGTAACCAGGTTATCACCTGAATCTCCTCCTAGAACACCATTGTGTTCTTTTTAACCAAATATCTCACAGAGGGGCGTGGCTCCTTATTTTCCTCTAAAGTAACTGACCCAGAATCAGCACTTTTGAAACAGAGGGGATTATGGGATGCTACAATGATCTGTTTGGTATTTCGAGCCAAACACTTCAGAGACATGTTTGTATATATCTGAGACCTATAATATATTGATGAAAAACTGTATAATAGGGGACCTTTAACATGTATCTTGTAGTGTAAAGGGTTTTTAAGTGTAAAAATGTTTTATATATATTTTGCAAGTCACCTGTTTCACACAACCCCAGGCTGTAAACGTGTGCAGCAACATGCTTGACACTAATGACGTCCTGCTTTGGACACATCTAGAGCCCGACATCTTTTAAAGCATTTCCCCATCTAATAACACGACTTCACAACTCCTGAGCTGTTATAACACCTTTAAAAAGATCCTTCAGTTACTCAGAAATAACAGCCACACTGTCCATCGAGGTAAGCCCTAACATCCCCTCCCACAGCCTGATCCCAGGTCAGCCCAGTTGGATGTCGGCTCCTGGTGGAAGCACTGTGGTGAAACGAGGGTCCAGCTTGGGCACAAAGCCTTTAAAGTCCCTGGAGGCTTGAGTCCCAAACACATCTAGCAAATGCCGGTTCATCAGAGCAAATCTAGGAAAGGAGACAGACAGATTATACTTAATATGGACAGAAAAACGATGATAAGATTGTTAAAGCATAGTTTGACCGCTGTACTCTTACCTGCCCTGAGTCAAACGCAGTAGGAACTTCCAGTATGTAGGCCTGAGGTTCTGCACTTCCATCACAGCCTGTGTAAAAGTAACAAGTCATGCATTAATCCATTACTCAGCAGACAAAACAAAAATTAAATAATACCTCTGTGAGCAGGTCTGTGGGTTGTTTTTTGTGTCACTTACGGCTTGGAAACAGATTGCCGTGGAGATGGCATAGATGACCGTGTCTGCATGAGGAAAGTAAGGGAACCGTCCGGACTCGATGCCCTTAAAGTAAAGGGTCTAAAAGCAGAAATGAAAGCATGTGCTGTTAATGTTTACCGGTCCAATGCAGATACATTTTCAGATAGGCAGACGCATAAAGTAAAATGTTATTAAATGCTTATCTGGCCTTATGTTAACTTAGGAACTACTACCATGTCATTAACATTTATACAGGGGCTTTACAGTATAAGACTGTAGACTTCCCCTCAGACAAAGTTGGAAAAAGGAACCCCCTCCCATAGTTTACTTTGCTTAGTTTCACTCATTCCTAATAGCCTAAAGCAGTGGTTCTCAAACTTTTTCTGTCAGGCCCCCCCTTTGGACAAAAATAAAGTCGGGCCCCCCCCAACACAAATAGTCAGGCTCAGTGGCAGCGCCAGAGATTTATTTTGGGGTGCTGTGGGGTAACTTGACGTTTCATAGAGGGTGCTCAAACATTTAGGGTTTCCCATTAATGTACCGGTCTATACAGTGGAATTCTCTACTGCAACAATCCCCACGCAAATACACAGTGTACCCGCGACTGTTACAATGAAGGCTCGATAATCAGCTCACGGCATATAGGTGTAAGCAGGGGTAAAGTGCTATTTTTATAGGTGGTGTGTGGACCTCACATAGGGGGGTCCGGGGGCAAGCTCCCCCAAGAAGATTTGTTTTTAAATATTGAAGTTAAAAGCATCAATCTGGTGCACTTTGAGACCAAAATGAAGAGATCTATGGATACATCTCTCAACACCCATATGAAACAGAACTGTAAACAGATTTACTATTTCTTTATGGATATTTTACAAATCACCCTTTTAAACTTTATTATTTTTTTAATGTCATAGTATTTCATACCTGTTTTTCATTTATTCTCTTATTTTTTTATAACTATAATGATCATATAAACGTGTGCCTCGGAAAT